AGAAATGTTAGCCGCAAACAAACTCCCTTTTTATTTTATTTTATTTATTTATTTTTTACAATGTTTTTTTCTTCTCTAAATAATATGAACGATACACCTGTGCTGCTATTTCTGCTAAGATGATTATCCTTCTCCTCATCATTATTATTTTTTTATTATTATTGATATAATTATTACCGTTACTATCAATATTATCATTGTTATTATTACAATTATCATCATTTATTTGTTGCTGTTATCATTATCATTATTATTGTCATCATCAATATTATCATTATTAATATTATCATAATCATTATTATCATTATCATTATTATTATTATTATTGATATTATTATTATAATCTCATCATTATCATTATTATCATTATCATCACTATTATCATAATTATCATTATTATCACTATACTTATTAACAATAGTATTAGTACTATTAGTATCAGTATTAATAATCGTATCATAACCATTATTATCATTTTGATTATTTCCACCATCAGCATCATCTTTTCCAAAACAAATATTGTTATTTACCTGTTATTGTTCTTCCTATTATCAATGTTCCCAACTTCATCGGTTATCTATGATAATCATCATCAATATCATTATTTCAGCATTCTCTTTTTATTGCAATAGTATTAGTAGCAATAGTCGTTAATTGGTATCATAATCATGTCGCGAGCATTGCTATAATGAGTTGCATTGTGTTACACTTTTATAAATCATTGTTATCAATACAATTAATATAATCACACAAAAAAATCAATGTATGCAGAATGCAATGCATAGAACTTATGCTAGCGATATGAACCCAAAGAGGAATAATAATAATAAAAAAGAACACTTTTCCCGAAAAAATTATCGAACACTATCGCTCTCGGACACTCCTTTTTGCCGGACAAGGAAAATCTGACAAAAAAAAAAAAAAAAAAAAAAAAAATTAAAATCATTATGTTATTTCGGTATTTAAACATGTTAAAACCTGACCAACCTTAAGATAATAGTGATGATAATGATAATTAAGATAATAGTGATGATTATGGTAGAATTACAATAAGTGTGTTTGTTGTTTGATGTTTAAGGTTATATTAATGTGATGCATATAATAATTAATAATAATGTGAT